GGCACTGGCTTTCTTGTTCTTTAATCTTTTTGATAATTTGTACACTTCTTCCAGTGATACTGGTCTGTCAAGAGTATCATTTGTACCTAATGCCCAGATATTAAAATCTTTTATGATTTGTGCTTCACTGCTTGCTACTTCAGTATTGATATTTATTTTGTTCAAGTTTTTGAAATAATCAAACCATTCAGATGGTAGAATTTCGTGTGAAGTTCTAGGTTTTTGAGCTTTTATGGAGTTAACGAGTTTCCAGAAATCTTTAGGATTGTTTTCTGATAATAATTCAATTTTATTTAGTATAGAATTATGAAATTGTCTTTTTGCTGCCGAGCGTAGCTCGGCAGCACACTAATCTCTACACGTGGTGTGCTTACCACGTGACCGCCGAGTTTATAGCCGCTACAATCTCGATTTATGTCATTCTGTCATCCACGGACGGGCCAAAACTAGCTGTTTTGATATTATTTTTTTGTTCCCGGGGGGGGGTGTTGTTCACAACATGGCGACTGTTATAAACGGACAGAAATGTAAAAATCATAAAATAATGCGAATTTCCATAAAAATTCCGAGTAATATTTGTGAAGATGAATGGGTAAATAAAGCACGGTGTTATTTTGTGTCTCTGGCGCAAGAATGATCGACAATATTTTGAATAATTCAGGTAAGGATGGCTTTATTTCGTTTCTCGTATAGTGATGTAGTCGTGCCGTGTGCCCTGTCTATCTGTCTGGTGATATATTTTATAATACATGAAGGCATTTATATTTAAATCTGCTGTTTATACTTGTTTAGTCACTTTAGTGTATTAAACTTCGATATAGAGGCATTGATACAAAATGATTTCAAGAATATATCGGCAATTATAATACCCACTGAATCACTATTCCCGACCAAATCGACAGTAATGATTAATGCCTTTATGCTGATACAAGAAGCAAATGAACTTTTAGTTTATTTGTTTGTTATGTCACTTAATATGTGCAAAGCCAAAGGCGGTGAGTATATAATAGTGTTCCGTACGTTCTATTTCTAAATGTTTATAGTTTAAAAACAAACGCGGGATGTTGTTAAATCAGGCTTAACAAGATTCCTAGAGCTACCCAGTGTGGATTGTTGTCTGCATATATGGACTTATCAGCAATTACATGTAATATAGCATATCAACTGACTTTTGTATAAGATATGACTTGTATAAGGCCTCAGTTATATATAAAACCTATAAACATGATTCTACTGACATACATTGATATATACATATGGCTGTGTTACCACAATAATGCTCACAACTTCAACTTCTTTCTAACAATATAGTTTTGCAGTTCTGACTGTTCTGAGTATGATCTTATTCATTCAGAAATATAAGCATTGCACTGTATTCAATGGCAAGCTATCCTGGCATGTAGTAAAACACTGACTATCGGAACACCGGAACACCACCGGAACACCGCAACACCACCTAACCCTAACCCCAACCCTAACCCCCAACCCTAACCCTAACCCCAAACCCTAATCCTAACCCTAACCCCAAACAAAATGGTGGTGTTCCGGTGGTGTTCCGGTGGTGTTCCGGTAGTCAGTGTTTTACTACATGCCAGCTATCCTGGATTCCAGAGCCTTCAGTTAATAATAAATTGAAATATCGTGAAGGCTCTGGTTCAACGGGAGGATTCTTTGATTAAACTGTGCCAATCACAAAACAGAATTAGCAGTTTTAGTACAGATTTTGGGCGTGTTAACCCATTAAGCGCCAGCGCTCTCCCCTTGACGAGTTAAATCGTCTGGCGTTAGACAGAGTAAAATACTAAAGTAGGGTGCATCAGGGTGCAATGCGACCCAATGGGTTAACTAGACACATGGGCAGATAGATCAGTTAACCAATTAAGCGCCAGCACTCTCCCCTTGACAAGTAAAATCGTCTGGCGTTAGACAGAGTAAAACACTGTTCAAAGTAGGGTGCAATGCGACCCAATGGGTTAACTAGACACATGGGCAGATAGATCAGTTAACCCATTAAGCGCCAGCACTCTCCCCTTGACGAGTAAAATCGTCTGGCGTTATACAGAGTAAAATACTGTTCAAAGTAGGGTGCATCAGGGTGCAATGCGACTCAATGGGTTAATATAGTACATAACATAGGTCATAGACATACAGTTTCAATACAATACAAAATGATTTGGAACAACGTCAAGGTCAATGAAATCATACAAAATGAATTTATGGAATATCAATTAAATGTATTTAAAACAAACATAATTTCAACATCCCAATAAGCAATTATAACATCCCAGTAAGTATAAATTCAACTATTTTAAATCAATTGTTTGAATAGCCAAAGTAAAAGTTGTACGAGTGACAAAATCATTCAATAATATTCACATTTTATCATTTATATTATGTGTCAACTATCAAAGTCGCACTGTTAAGTATATTAAAATATACTTCTCATAAGATTAGATGTAAGATATAATTGTACGAAGGTAACTGAGGAACGACGATGTGTAAGACAATAAATCATACATAGAGTGAAAAACGCTCTTTTTGTAGCACATCCTACATGTACATATCGGCAGCATTTTCCTTGCGATAGTAACTCCTAGTTTAAATCATTAACTGCATTGCATCTGACAGCTGTGTCATTTTGTTTTGTCTGTTTGGAATGGTACCTAGTACAACATGGTGATGGTTTATAAAGTACAACAAGCAGGGTGGAGTTAGAGTTATTTTTATGTTGACCCATAAAACCTCGATTTGCCTCTTAAAGGACATTGGCAATAAAAAATTAGTTTGTCTCATTCTTAAAATTATATATTAATTAAACTCTATTACTGATTTGTCATATCTATTTGTGACCCCTCTCTTGACATAACATGCATATATATCCTCAATAATCCAAGATGACATACAGCTCACTTTTTTCAGTTGGAATGTTTTGAAAACTAAGCAAGATATAAACAATCTGTAATAGAGTTTAATTTAATATATAGTTTTAAGAGTTCTTTCAAATGAACTAAACTAATTTTTTACTTCCAATGTCCTTTAATTTAATGCACCATACTGTACTTTTTTTTTACTTTTCAAGAGGAAAGTCTAATGGGATCATTGTGGGGGTCCCAATCATTTGATAGAGGCAGTGTTAATTTTAGGAGGACAACTGTTTCCTTACACATTAGCTACATTGATATTGGAAGACTGATTTCCATCAAAAATGGGAAACTCATCCAGAAACTTTTTTTATCTGGTAAACAACAGGTTTTTCGTCTTATGTTTGCTGTCTAACTGTTCCATCTGAACAACATGAAAGTTATATTGTACATGAGTTCATGTCTTAGATAAGATATTCATCATAAATTTATATTAGACAAATAAAACAAGATGGTTTTTAGCTTTGATGACCAGGATTGAGGGTTTCCGAATTCTCAGGTTTTTCGTCCAGTGGTTTTCGTTCCAAATTTGTTAGATGAGTCTCCCGTCTTAGAAAGAAATTCCATTTTCTAATAAAATTCCATTTTCTAATAAAATTCAGCTGTTATGTCAAAAGTTATCATGAAAATGTTAATATACATGTAATGCCATTGATGACTGACTAATACCAGATGATTTTACCTGTCAAGGAGAAAGCACTGCGGCTCAATAGGTTAATCTGACTTTTTCTGGGAAAATGCCGACCAAGAATCTGCTTTTAATTTTTCCTAATGAAGATCAAATATCCTGTTTGCTTTAGAGCGGTGGTAAACCTGACCCAATGGATTTATTGCGGAAGCAATTAAATGAAAAAGAAGTTGCTTACAAAGAAGGTAAGAACATTTTTTCATGCATTTTGTAAAATTGACCGAGTTAGAATTCGTTTCAGTATTGTAACAACATTGTATGGTTGTCATCAAGGATACCGTATTTACTCGTTTGAGCGCCGCCCCTGATTCAGCGCCGCATTTGCGATCGAATTTTTTTAAAGAGCGCCGACCCCGAATGAGCGCCACGTAAAAACTTTCCACCATCAAAATGGGGACATTTGGTGACAAAGACATTTAAAAGTTGTTTATTTTATTGTTAAAAGTTCTAATTATAATTCACAAATAAAAGTTTTTTTAAGAGCGCCTCCCCCGATTGAGCGCCACATCTGAAGCTCTGAAAATTTAAAGAGCGCCGCAGCGCTCAAACAAGTAAATATGGTATGCAATATTTTTTGACATTTGAAAACAAAAATAAATAGTTTGTTGTTGAGAACAGAATATGATCTAGCTTGCAATTTAGGTTTCTACAGTATATCACTGCTATTGAACATAAGAACTATTAATTTTCTATCATAAAAACTCATTTAGAACATTCACGAGCTGAAGGCTTGGCTGTTAAGGTCAAGGAACAAAGGTAAGAGCAAATTATTGGTTTTCATGCCAAAATGAGTTGTTTGGGTACATTCTATCTGTTTTTATTTTCAGGGATGAAATTGTTCAGGGGATGACTAAACAGAAGACTTATGAAACAGCTGCAACACAGAAAATTAAGGCTCTTGTATGTATTTCATAAGAGTTTGTCAGTAAGCCCTACTGTATGTCTCACTGGACTTCAAATTGAATATTACACCCAAAAGATGATTGAAACTGTTGTTATAAGTGAGTTTGTGATAACCAACTGCCTATAGATAGATAGATAGAGATAGATAAACTTTATTTAACCACGCTAACCCCGTCAACCGAAGCTGATTTCCACAGGGGGCGTGTATAAAAGACATTACAGAAGTATAAACTTTAGAAAATTATTTACAGAATATTAGTATTAGGCATGCAGGTATTAAAGTAAGTAATGGGAATATAACAATCTATTTACATTGTACATGACAACATTTGTTGTCTAATTAAAAATGTGAGCGGCAATTTTCTTTTGGAAGCATGATAGGGATTTGCTCTCTCTAATTTCATTTGGAATAGAGTTCCAGAGCTTAGCACCATCATACATAAAACTCTTCTTCATATTATTGGTACGTGGTTGTGGTAGACAAAGACCACTTGAAATGTTTCGAAGTTGATAATTTGTTATATCACTCTTATACGTGAAGAGGTTTGTGAGAGACTCAGGGCCTATTTTGTTTAATGTTTTGTACATCATTCTTGCTTTTGCCTTTTTTCTTATTCTATCAAGTGGCTCCCAGCCTAAGGCATTTAAAGCAATAGAATGATCTACATCATTGCTGAAATTTGAAATAATTCGAGCAGCTCTGTTTTGTAGTTTTTGCAGTCGTTTAGATTGTGTTTCGCCAAATACATCCCAAACTTCAGAGCAATAATCAAAGTAGGGACGTACAATAGCATTGTATATAGAAATAAGCGTATTTCTATCGGCAATAAATGGTTTGACACGACGTAGAGCTGAAATTCCCAATGTTATTTTTTTACAAATATTTTCAGTATTAGTCTTCCAAGTTAAGTGCTGGTCAATTGTTGTTCCTAAAGTGGTTTTATTAACTTGTCTGATTTGTTTGTTTTCAATTATAATATTTGGTTGAAAATTTGAAACATTTCTTATGTGGCAGGCCCTCATTGAAACATAAAAGATGAATAGAGAAAGAGGGGCCTGGCTTTCATTACTAAATAGGTTTTTGTGAATTAATTTTCTCAAAATTAATTTGCACACCCAACATATATGTAAGCTGGATAAATAATATACCAAAAGTTGCTGATTTATTCTAACTTGATAATTACAGTATGTACTTGCCATAATGTTTGCAAACTGCTTTGACTCTTCATACTCCAAATTATGCTCCTATAAGCATACTTTTGTCAAATTTGTTTGGCTATTTACTTTCTTAGGAAAAAGAGAACGAAGCTCTGAAGCTACGAATGAATGCTTCCCACCAGAACAATGCTCTAGAACATGAAAAACTTGTTGCTGCACTGGAAATTTGTAAGAAAACCCATGTTCAAACTGACTGGCAGAAGTTGCAAGAGGATCTGGCATCTGCAAAAGATATTATTCAACACTCTGAAAACCAAAAGGCTGAACTGGAAGCAAGAATTTTAGCTCTTGAAACAGACATCGATTCAAGGGTATGAAAAAATATTTGATGCATGAAGATGTTGAAGTTTTTTCAGAAAGTGATTATGCAATGTGATGTCATGCTACATGTCATGCCATAGTGAGGATAATTTGGATATTAAAAAATTGTCAAATATCTCAAGAATTTGGCAAGTGTAGAGAATTTGGCAAAGTATCTTATTTGGTCATTTTGAATTTCCTTTGCAATGCAATCATAAAATAATGGTGTGAAATTTCATTGCATAAGCACCTAAAATGACTAATAATATTCCGGTGGAATACATGTAGTGGCCTGAATGACAATGTATAAAATATGATGACTATTTAGCTCCTAATTATGAGTGGCTTAGTTGATTTTGTGTTTCAGTATCAACACCAGTATTCATTTTACAATTGGTTTCACTAAAATTTGACTCCTAATGTTTTTTAAATTTTTTTTCGTAATTCCAAATTTTGCTGCAAATTCAAAATTTAGAAAGAAAATGAAGCCAAACTAGCACAACAAGCAGCCGAAGCCAATGATCGAGTCAAGAACTTTGATGCTGTTAAAAACAGTCTGACGCAACAACTCATGGAAACAGTGAAGTCAAAAAGTGACAGCGAGCAGAGACTGGACATGGCAAAGAAAGAAACTGACTCAGCACACACAGAGAAATCCAATGCCGTTCAGAAAGCTGGGGCATTGCAATCTCAACTGGACGAGGAGAGATCGAAGAAATCTGAAATGGAGAAAATGTTTAAGGCTTTGGAACTGAAGTTGAAAGATACGTCTGATAAACATGTGCAAGAGAAAGAGGTAAAGTATATACTGATTCTGTCTTTGCTCAAAATGTCAAAGTCTTTTTCATGTTGACGAGTATCAAAACAGTGGTGGACACTTTGCGAAATATTGGGTGGGGGATGGAAATTAGGTTGCCAGCATAGGACAATTTATTGTGTCCAACATCAGACAATTTTACTCGTCGAAGGAATAGTGCTGGCACTCGATAGTTAAGAACCACTTTTGTTGGAAAGTTTGTTGCTGAAATTACTTCACCTGATTTGGTAGTTTCATTGTGTTTAGTGGAGGCCAATAGATGACCTGTGTATATGCGTTAAGTATTTTCTACTATTTGATTTACAGATGCTTGTTCAACAGTTAGAGTCAGCTAGTGGAAAGAAAGATGATACACAAATAGCAGAATTCCAGGTAGGATGATCTTGAGTAACTTACAATACTGTATGTTATATACCATACACAACAAACAGTTAATTTTAGTAAAATCAAAACACAAAGAAAATCCTATGAAGATGTCAAAGATCCATTGAAAAAAACTGAAAACAAGTTGTGAATTTTTATGGGCCATTTATCTTTTCAGAAACAATCAGAGGATGCATCAAGACAGCTGGACGAACTGAAGGCCAAACTTGCACAGGCTGAAGAGGATCATGGGAAAACAAAGCAATCCCTCACGAGCCGAGAAGAACAATTGAGCAAACATGAAGGAGAGATAAGCAATCTGAAAGGCTTGAATTGCAGCAAGGACGAAGAGCTTGAATTATTGAGAAAAACTGTGAGCCAACACGAGAACGAGATTGTTGTGATGAAAAATAACATGTCTCAAGAGCTTCAGTCTGCACCACCTGAAGTTGACGATGCCAAGTAAGTAGAGTTCTTAAAGTAACACCTGCCAAAAGCAGCGGTGGATCTACTGTGGGGCAGGCCTAGAAAATATATTTGTCTTCCTGGCAGCAAAATCCAAAAATAAAAATTTCCTGTGTAAGTCAATTATAAGACTTGCTGCATCGTAAATTGCAGAGAACGGATGGTGTCGCACATGCGATAAACTTTGATCTCAGCACAAGACAAACTCGTCTTGCAAAATGCTTTTGGACTTTTTAAACAATAAGTAAATTATATGGCATTTCAGTTTATAAGATGACAGGAATTTCCTGCAAGGTGTAAGAAAATTTCCTGGGAAGATATTTTGTCAAATATTTCCTGGCAGCGGTGCTGCTGGCGCTGCCGGACATTTTCCAGCACTGCTGTGGGGGTACAGGGGTTGTGCGTCGCAGCCAACCTAGTGTGTAAAAACACCTGACGTTGGTTGTTCAAGAGCTGGTTAGCTTAGTCCTATGTTAACAGAAATCTCAAAGCAAACTTCCCAACAGCCTGTTTAGAAACATGAAGATAGTTTTGCACAATTCATGTCCGCATCAATAGAAATTTTATTTAAACAGAGGTGCAATTAATGAAATAAACAGAAGTGCAAACGTACCCAAACCAAAACAACCCATGGTTAACCACACTTATTATTAGCATGACAAAATTACTGGATGCTGATTGGTTGAGAGGAGTACAATTATTTCATTAATTAATTGTACTGCAGTACAAATTAATTGTACTGCAGTACAATTAATGATTTTCCCAAAACAAACAAAATGAAATGAAATTGCCCTTGAGGAACTAGATGAAAATACGAACAAAAGCGCCAAATTTTGCTTGAACAAAAGAACTAAATGAAAATACCAACAAAAGTACCAAATTTTGGTTGAAAATCTGGCAGGACTGGGCTTTGGCGAGAGAATATGATGCTGACGGATCGGAGAAGTATCCAATTTTGTCATATGCTAATAATAAACAAGTAATCATTCGATGTTGCTCGTACAACATCAGAACCACCAGAATTGCTGAGTTCAACATCAGAACCACCAGAATTTGAATCATAGTGTATTTTTTAGGGTAAAAGGTTTGGAGGAAGAAATTGAAAAACTAAATGGTCAACTGGATGAGAAAAAAGAGCAAATAGCTACCTGGGAGAAGTCGATTGAAACTATGAAGGCCAAGAACAATGTATGTGTTTGAACCGTTTGTCTTATAGAATATACATGTTTCTAAAAACTCCGTTTGTATGGAAATGTTTTGCTGCTTTGGTTAATAAATGTAATTGCAGAACAGATAGGTGTCTTGATCTGGCAATGAAAGTGTTCCTAAAATGTTCTACCAATTAATTTACTCCACAAACCAATCTATTTGAGACATTTGACCAATTAATTACAGTACTAGCAACTTCCTGTATTTCTGCATATGATGATAGCTAGACATACTGATAGTGGTGAATTTCAAATGTATTGATAATTTTTTTTTTGGGGGGGGGGACAACAAATGATTCTAAATATTTCCAATTTCATGTATTTTCCACCAAACACGAGATTGGTACATGCAATGATTAATGATAACTAAACTGGAATCATATTTATTCCCAGGAGTTGCGAGAGAAGAACTGGAAGGCGATGGACGCGCTGTCTGCTGCAGAAAAACAACACAAGGTTGAAACTGGCAAAGCAGTTGCTTCAGTCAAGGTAAATTACATCAGTGTGGTTTAGTTTTGACTCCCACTACAAATACCTTTCACTGACTTACTACGCATGTGATTGCTTAATCGGGTAAGTCAAATGCATCTGATTGGTTAACGGTCCCTAGTGGAAGTCAAATGTAAATCTGACTAGGGTAGGAGATGGATCAGTTTTGTGTTGTTGAATATCCTTCAAAACGAACAATGCTCGTGTGACGGTGTTTTAACTCTGATATCAATATTTCTGTAGGAGGAAAATAAAAAGAACCTTCAAGATTTGCATACAGACATAAAGGTACGTGTATTATACTAAAGTGGTCTCTATTTTTATGTATTTTATCTTATTATATATTCAACGTTATTTTCAGGAATTTTTGTGTCGAATTCATCCTACTTTATCTATCGACAAAGACTTGGTAAGAATCGCATTTCGGTTGCCGTTTATTAATCCAATATGAATATTGTTGACCTCATATTCATTAAGGAAACAGTATTCTCAAATCTCAATAGAAATGATGTTGCATTTACATTCACATGTACTACTCTTTCATTTTGCAGTCGTACGAGGACTTTTTAAAGAAATATGAAAATGAGACGGAAGAATTGGGATGTAGGTCACCCAAGTCTGAATCAAATGATTCAAAGGTATTTTAACTTGATTAAATTGTAACTGTATATCTTCTAAAAATGTTGCCGCTTTTTTTGGAACGGCCATTCGTTGCAATTTTCCGTTTGAAATTGATTCTTTAGATTGAAGAATTGGAGGAAGAATTAAAGAAATATATAAAACAGAATGAAGAAGTAACGTCACAATGTGCAGAATACAAAACTAATTTAGATAGCAAGGTGGGTGATGAACTGAATCTAGTTTTGTAATAGCCTGCGTGCAGGCCCAAGGGAACTTGATAGTGGGCCTGCAACCATCACCCCATGTTTTCGATTTTCGCCGGCCGAACCGCCGGCTAAATTCCCATTGGCTAGCTGAGGCGATCGGTAATTAATTAACCTAGCCCATTGTGCAGGCACAAGGGAACAGTGATTCATCACAAAGGCATAGACAAAGGCTCTCGATAAGCTTAAAATTTGAAAATTGATCACTTTTTTCGATTACAAATGGAACAAGAAGAGACTGTTTATTGTTTACTTGAAGGAAGACATGTTTTTGCCGTTATGCCAATGGGGATTGCTTGTCGTGAGGTGTTGGAATAGCAACATTACGACTGGGGTAAACTATAGTAACCTTTACTTGAGTTTCATTAATTTCAAACAGACTTCAGTTGATACGTTATGTGTTCTCACTTCCTCAAGAAAATTATCTTTGGGTTGATGTTGAGATGCAGTTGCATGTAAGAACTGTAAGCCTATTCGAAACACTTTGCGATTTACAAGGCTTCGCAGAGAGCGAAACAGAAGGCGGTATTAA